TATTCTTAAAAATAAAAAAAAGGGAGTTACATTTTTATTAAAAAAGAGGGTAGCAAATGCTGAGAAGCTAAGAAAATCTGCAGTCGGTATGTATACTTAGTGTTTTTCCTTTGTTATTGACGGACGTTTTGTAGTTTTGCTGTGGTAGCATTCGATTAAGCCCCGGCTTAAACGTTTCTGACATTTCTTCAGCAACCCCGATGTTATTGAACTCATCTTTGAACCCTGCAATTTACTGCTGGAAGATGAGACACGTTAGAACCGGACACACTGCGAAATATATTAATTTGGGGTGCCCTGCTACTGATTTTCTGTTTAAGAATATATATTTTTTGATATCCTAATATTCGTATTCTAATTTACAAAAGAATATAATTAAGAGTCAACGATTTGCTGCTTCTTAGATGTGTCAGGCAAAATAGATCAAAAAGGTAATCTTTTAAGATGAAATATAAGACATCTGGCTTAAACAAAGACAGGGAATTTGAAACTTCCCAAGATAAATACTTTGTCTTATAATCATGGCTTTATGAAAATGTCGACGGACGTACTTTAATGAGGTATTAAGGAAACGGCTTTTGAGTGCAAAATTTGGACGAGATTTACTTATTGAATAGAGTTATGGGCAAGTCATAGAAACATTCGAGAACATAGTTTCGTTTTGAGCGTGCGTGAGATAATCCAGGAGTTCACGAAAAGTGTGTAACCTGAGAGAAGCACCGTAAGGATTGAAAACATTCAAGCTCATGGAAAACCCAATTTGTGAGGAATTGCTGGTCTACCAGCTCACGAGAATGGAAGATGAAAACTTATATTTGTGGTACATTGTTAACTGTGTCTTCAACGCTTTCCTAATTATTAGCGCCATCATCTTCAACAGCGTCACAATCCAGGCGCTAAGAAAAACTTCATCGTTGCCACAACCTCTTAAAACATTGCTTCTAAATCTTGCTGTCTCTGATCTTGGCGTTGGTTTACTTGTCGAACCTTTCTACTTTGGGCTACTCGTCAAGTGGTTACAGCGAGACAATTCAACTGATGCTACATGCACCTCGTTTCTCGTTATCTCGTGCTTATTTACTGCAGCTTCGTTTTTGGGAGTTATGGTTTTAAGCACTGACAGATTCCTTGCTGTGCACCTCCATCTGAGATACCAGGAACTTATGACTCACAAGTGGGCTGTTGCTGTGGTAATCTCAATATGGGTGTTCAGTGCATTTGTTTCACTGGTTTTCGTCTACGCAAATATTTCTAACGTGGTGATTAGCGTTATTGGGGTAGTTTGCCTACTAATCACAGCTGCGCTTTATTTTAAGATTTATAAAGCTGTACGGCGCCACAGAAATCAAATTCAAGCCCTGCAAGTACAACAAGTAGCACAGAATGGCCAAACAGCGAACGCTGCTAGGCTCAGAAAATCTGCAGTCGGTGTATTTTACGTCTATCTGGTGTTTTGGCTTTGTTATGTTCCGCAGTTCTGTAATTTTGCTGTCTTTGTAATCTCCAGCATCACTACCGGTGTAAAAGTTTTTGCAATAACTTCAACGACCTTGTTATTTCTTAATTCAACTTTAAACCCTGTTATTTACTGCTGGAAGATGAGACACATTCGACGCGCTGTTTTGGACATACTGCAACATGCCTATCCTAGTCTAAGGAAAGCTTCAGTGAATAATTCGAGAAGTTAGAGGTAGCTATCAAATTTCTGGAGCTTTTTGAAAGGACTGTGGCTGCTTTTGTAGATAAATATGCACACTACGTGATCAAACGTGTTGTTGCTTTCTTTACAAGACAGAGCTAAACTTTAAGTCAGATCCTTGATATTTCGCAAAGGAGAATGTTAACATGGGCGTATATGGATGAAGAAAAACTTTTCTCATTTTCATATAGCTTGTGCGTTGCAGATCAGAGTGGCTTAGCATGTAAACCTTCTGATTTTGTGAATGAAATACAGTTCAATTTATCCTTGAGCCTGTTATTGAGTGTCGTGATTCTACGGAGTCGCTGAATTGACCACAGTTGTTTCGTATGCCGCATATGCTAAGAGGGATAAACAACTGTGATCAATCTTATGTCAGCTCATAATGTGATTTACCACGTCTTCTCACAAAGGTCTGACACATATCGCTTTAAACTCTTAAACGTTGAGGCAGCATAAGTGGCACTGGAGTTTTGCGTTGACGCAATATATCAAACACGAAAGACCGTGTTTGGACACATTTCTAAACACTTAGAGGAGAGTTGAATTGAAAATAAGACGCGTAGTGGAGTATTTTTGACGAACTTTGAGGTATTTAGAAATGTGGTCAAACACGGTCTTTCGTGTTTGACATATCTTCTCAATCGAAACTGAAGCCAACCAAAAATGAAAGAAATAAAATCGTAAAAACCTATGCTTATTAAGATCAGTTATCCAAACACCGTCCCGATCATGATTTTCTTTGTTTAAACTTGACGAATTATTAATGATTTTGAGAAAGTGCTGTGAAGGGCCTGACACTCTTGTACATGTCCCCAGGCTCCACGGTGCTGTCTGCTGGCGCAGACTCAGTTCCATTTATTTCCTGTTCTCTTATCACTGTTTACCAGAACTGAGGAAATATCGAGACTGGTCAGAAAAAAAATCGATATTATTGATGCTGACCAAAAGGATAGGCCGTTTTTGGGAAGAATGGCAAGCTGACTAACTCTAACTGTCCACCTGTTTGTTCTCTTTAGGATGGCAAGTTTTCCATTTGTTATGCTGCCATGCACGGTCACCTAACAGTAGTAAGGTATTTACTGCAACAGGAACTCAACACCGAGCTGTTGTTAGCTGACCGGAAGGTAATATTGCATTGTTAAACGTTCTTGTTGTTTAATATAAACAGTTTCTTATTTTCTCTGGTGTGATCGCCAAGGCGCCATCTTGAAGATCTTGACATATTACTGTAGTTTTGCGTTCTCCCCAGATGACTCATAAACCTGACTGGCCCAACCTAACTCATGACCTATAGCTTGGACACCCAGGGGCAATAATTGAGGGTGATACCTTAGTATTGACAGGGCTGTTTGGTACTGGCCCGGTAAGACTCGATCCCCGGGGACTCCTGTCTTTGTCTTCTACCTTTCTGCGCCGTGTTTCGTTTGACCGTCTCGCGTCATTCTGTTCGACCTTAGTATCGTTTTTTATTGTGGCTAGCTCCGTGAGCACGCAAAAGGAACCGAATCCTGAGCTGTGATTGGCTACACGAGCGGGCAAGATGGCGCTATCCTGCTTGCTCGGGATTACCTGCTGTGTCCCGCAAGAAAATGGTGTTTTTTTTCCCCTTATAATAAATCCTTCGTTAACCAAGTTTGTTCGGTCAAGGTGGCTGGATATTAATTGGCCTCGTTCTAGTTTTTTTTTTTTTTTTGCCAGTTTATGGACCTCAACTCCTTTCCAGTTCATAAACACGCAAAAAAAAAATGAGAACTTGGCCAATATCTAGCCATCTTGACCTCACTCTTGGTCAATAACCCATATGCGTAGGATTGCGTTGGCAGAACTTGCAGTAGTATGATAGGTATTGACTTTAATATCATTGTATTTTCTTGTAGTTCTTGTTTGATCTGATGGTTTGCTCAAACTTGGATGAAAACGAGTCTGTCATCGACTTCATTCTCCAATGCCCCGCACCAATCTACGCCGCGGCCAAGCTCTCGAAACACTACCGGAACGAGTCGACGCGGGAAAAAGAGCGCGGCCGCGACCTGCTGGCGGCGGGAAACGTTTGTGAGAACATTGCGTCCGAGCTGCTTTCCCTCGCATGCGCAGATAGCGCAGAGAAACTGCTGACGGCCGTTGACGACCGGGACGTACCATTTCTGGATTACCTGATCGAGTGCGAGCAGAAAACCTGCGTATCACACCCTTTGGTTCAGGTTTATCTCGGGGATGTTTGGCGCGGAGACTTTCAGTGGGATGACTGGAAGTACTTTCTGTTGTTTACGCTGTGCCTGATATGTCCGCCGCTATGGGCTTTCCTTTGTCTACCGTGGAACGTTAGGTATCATAAGATACCGATTATTAAATTCATCTGCCATCTGATCTCTCATTTCTACCTTATTGTATTGTTTAGCTTCACTGTCGTGGTACCGTGGGAGGATTTGACTGGTGCAACGTTACTTCCCAGGTGGTACGAGTGGCTTTTATTAATCTGGTTATCAGGACTATTATTATCGCAGCTCACGGACCCCCACGACCGCGCGGGACTGGGTTGGATCCCGATCATTGTGTTATTTTTAAGCCTGATCGGCATTTTGCTACATTTAGCGGCGTTTGGTTTCCAAGACCAGCACAGAATCGACGTGATATACTCTCGGAACCAGTTTTTCGCGATATCCATGATGCTTTGCTTTGCGCAGTTGTTGGATTTTCTCTCTTTTCATCATTTGTTCGGTCCATGGGGGGTGATCATCCGGGACCTCATGTACGACCTGGTGCGATTCCTCGTAATTCTATCAATCTTCATGGTTGGCTTCACCGCTCACCTGGCAGCAGTCTACCGACCTATGTCGACCTATCAACCTAGTGAAGGCGGGAATGGGTTGCAAAGCACGGCTGTGGACTTCTTTCGTTGCTTCGAACTGTTATTTTTTAGTTTATTCGGATTAACAGAGGTCGACAAGCTAAAAGATGGCGCCAAAGACAACTCCACGTTTATGCTAGCCAAAGCTACGTTCGGGATCTATAATGTGATAACAATCATCGTTCTTATTAATCTGCTCATCGCTATGATGAGCGACACTTACCAGCGAATTCAGATGCAGTCAGACATTGAGTGGAAATTCGGCCGCGCCAAGTTGATCCGAAACATGAAGCGTTCGACCACCACCCCCTCCCCCCTTAATCTTGTCACCAAACTATTCTCTTACTTGCGCTTGCTGTACAAGACGAAACTCAAATGCTGCCGGGCGGACATTATTGATATTCTACGCACAGATGAACAGCTTCCGGAAAGCACCTCGATGAACCCGTTATATGAAACGTCCAACACGTGGCTTCCCAACGGAGGTCTTCGTCATCGAAATAGCACTCAGAGAAATGCTCGAATCGAGGAGGTTATTGATTGGAAGACCCTGGTGAAAAAGTTTTTAACTCTTCGAGGTAATAGCAGTGAGGTCGCGACGCATGGCCAAGCCAATCGCGACAAACTTTTGTCGCCACGTGAGTCGCACGTGAACATGAGAGGAAGAACCGAGTCCGCAATGGGACCCGGCCGACCTGGCACTTCAATGGGTTCCGCTATGTCTCTCCATCGTGTGGTGGCCGCGACGGTAAGGAAGATTGACATTGTGTCAAACATAAAGGATATGAATGACGCGGTTTGATCCAGTTCTACAAAGTGAATTTCTGTTGGAGTTAAGACTATTTACGTCTAAAGATGTTGTCCTGTGTCGCTCGGCCGGAAAACTGGCGACGGCAACAAAAGAGAGAACGTCACGAAACAAACGCTTTAACGAAGCGTGTAGTGATTTTGCACGTGCGTTACACATTTTCGTACTCTTGAATCGTTTTTAATTTAGCCGTCTTCAGCTAACTTGAACCACGATGGCTAACAGGTCATTTCTGAATTGCCTTTGCTTTTGGATCTGTGTGAAAACAAGTTTTGATGCGAAACCATTCATGTGAAAATTTGTTTCACCTGTGTGTTCATTTTCGTGAAGAAAAAAAAAAATCATGTACATATGAAAAGTTTTGCACGAGGAATGTTTTCAGACAGGAAGAAAAGGCAACTCAGAAATGCTCTATTACGGCATAATTGATAAAGTAAGTGCTATCTTTCCATATTCAGCTCGAGCTAGCTCTTGAGCGCATAGACACTACCTAGATAATTGCGAATTTACTGGGCGTTGTCTTTGTTGTCGCCTGTCCTCATTGCGTAAGCCGACCAGAGTGTTTCCATCAGAATAGAAACCGTAAATGTTGCGGTAAAAATAGCATACTAAACTAAGAGATATAACAGGGTCAGAGGGTTAATCCCTTTGGAAAACATCTCTCAAGTTATCCCTCCGGAGGGTTTAGAAATATCTAATCCAGTGACGAAGGCTTTGACCCCGTGGACGGCCCAAGCGGCTTTACACATATTGTCATCCTGTACAAAAACATCCAGGCAACGTGTGTAATAGCATTATCGGTGGAAGAACTGGGTGTCATACCTAAAAAAAACCTTAGAGGGATAATCATGGGTATAAGGCCTGTAGGGGATTAACTCTTTTACTCTTCATCCTCTCTTGACTAAACCAATCAGAACTGAAAGCGAAAATTCACGTAATCCAAGTCACTATCGGTTATGGTCTTGAGCCTGATTAGCCGAAAAAATACCATGTGCAATCTGATTGAACATGCAGTGACTGTCTTTAAAATGTGCGGGCTCAGGTTCTTCAGCTGTATGAAGTCTGCCAAAGTGAACCAAATAGAAATGCACGTAATTGCTTGTTTTGAGTTTTTAGCCAGTAAACAGGAAAAGATACAAAATATTTGGAATAAATTGTAGATTTTAAAGACTTGTTTTTGATAGATTTATTTTGATATTCGTGAAACTACTATTTATTGTTAAAGGGACAAATAGTTAAAGAGACAAACGATAGAAACATTTCTTAACGTACGTTATTTAATTCATTCGTAGAAATTAAGGTCTTTAGTTGCCCCTAGGTGTTCTCTTCCTTTCGCAGGCGAGCGCAAGGTCAGTACGCGTCAAATCGGTTTGACTGGAAGGGAACGCCTGAACACTAGGCAGGTAGAGTTCAGTAATCATCTCGTGCTCTCGTAAAACCTAAACGTAGAACCGTAGCACGTTAAGAAGCGTGTGCAGCATTTTTTGAAAGGAATTGTTGACCGAGATAGAGAGGACATAAAACCATTGTACACCGGTGCCTTTTTGCGTGTTGACTTCCTAGAACTGAGAACCTAGGGCGCTTTCCATTCAACTAAAAATGTCGAAAATGTAGAAATGGAGACAAATGGTGGGAAATTTCCTCGGAGAGTTTCCACAAAAACCGGAAATTGTTGAATTTCCGAAAAGTGGACAATTCCACCGAAAGTTCCGGAAATTTCGGGTAGAAAGTCAAATGGAACGGAAATTCACGGTAAAAAAACCGAAAATTGTGTACTTTTGTCGTCTTTTCCTTTAAATTCCGGAAAATGCTGTTCCATTCGCCACTTGGAATTTCTGGGAATTCAAACTGGGATTTTTCTTCGAATGGAAAACGCCCCAAATGTCGTAGAAAAACAAAATTCACGAGTCATTTTGCGGTTCTCAGTTAGCATGTCTTAGTTCAGTCTAGTTAATACTCTTGTTCACACGGGACTGGTTCTCGGCGTGTCCAAACCGGAAAGGACCAGAATGTTTGTTTAAACGGTCCGATACCGATCCAGTTGTGAATAACTGTGAGTCAATCAGCTGTTAATCATGCACTGAAGATGCTGAAACAGATGTATTTGAGACCTTACCGTTTGAAAACAACCAACATTTCGCAGCCGGTCCTAAAAGGCGTCGGCCTAACCAGTTTGAGACTGGGAAGGTTCCAAAACTGAACCTGCCGTTTAACAGGTGCAAAAAATGGACTGGATAGGAAGTACAAATAGCAGGTCCCTCGTGCTCGAAAAGAATGTAAGGAGACATACAGAACGGGTCCCCGTGTAATAAACCTAATAGGTCGAAGCCGTGATATCGCTAAATTTGACAGTAAAGTTTGACATTAGCTAAAAGTGTTCACTGTGAATTAAATAGACTGAACTTGACTATATCAACTGTCCTTGTTTTGTATATATCTATCTATTTTTTGTTTGTTTGTTTGTTTTGCGTCAGGCAAAAGAGGATGAAGAGAAAAAGAGTTAACCCACATACTCAACTTATTTTTAGACATTGTACCCAGTTCTTTCGCGAAAGTTACCACGCGCGTTGTGTGGATGTTTTTGTGGAGGATGAAAACACGTGCCAGTAACGCCGCTTGGACCGTCCACGTGAGTAAAATTCGTGTCACATGATTGGTTATTTCTATATCCTTCAGGGATGTTCAAACCTGAGGAAGATCGAAAAACAAACTGAGAGGGATTGCAGTGGGAATAAATCTTATAAAGATGATTAACTCTCTCGCTTCATCCTATTTAACCGTACGGCGTCACAGAAATCAAATTCATGCCCTGCAAGCACATGGCAAAATATCAAATACTGCCAGGCTTCGAAAATCTGCAGCTAGAACGTTTTACATATGCTTAGTTTTTTTAAAAAAGATATTTGCCGAACTTTTGTAATTTTGCCGTCATGGCAATCTCTGAATTTAGTAATGGTGTTAAAGTTTTTGTCATTTTGTCAATGACTCTGATGTTAATTACCGAATTCATCTTTGAATCCTGTTGTTTACTGTTGGAAGATGCTACACATAAGACTCACATATATTCAAATGATATGAGGAGGTTACTTATTAACGGCAAATCGCGCCGCGCCTGGCTGTTTGCGTTAGTCATTGTTGTTTTTATTATTTTTATTTTCGTTTCATTGTTATTATTTTTGTTATTGTTGTTTTCAATGACCACATTTATTGTATCCTTTTCTCTTTTACCAAGTGCGTCTGTAATGTGAAGCCGGGTCGCCTGCTGCAATACGGTTTGTAATACCGAGAATATTACCTGGCGGTGCGAAAATATGAATTTTAATTTATTTTCCAGTGGTAAAATATCGTTTTTAAATCCATATCTTCAAGCCACCGTGTAAGCGTCAGGCCGGCGTAAGAAGACCGAATGGTGGTCTGGGTATTCACTGGAATTTTTCGCACTGCTTGTCGGTGCAGAGGCAATCTACAAATCTGTACTTTTCCATGTGAAATAGCAAGGAAACAATGGATTTTCTTTCGCTTTTATATGATTTTTAGTTCAAAATTCTTCGAAAATTCAGTGTGGCAAATAGAACCTGTTTTCCACAAGTCTGAAGGGAATAAAAACGTTCCAAATGACTTTTGCCATGTTGTTATTTAACATATTTAAACTACGAACCCGAGTCTTCTATGAGTCTATGAGCGAATAGCCAACGAGGCCTAGGTGACCAGGCAATTTGTGTATTTTTAAAATTAGGAACAATATTCAATTTGAAGAGCGGCGCGCGGGTAATCGTTGTCTGTCAGCAATTATGTCGTTCTCCGATTGGCTATGCTACTACCTCTCTATTCTGTTCTACATAGTGAGTAGCCAGCAATCTGTGCTTACAAACTGGCAGCCGTTTCTTTACGTTTCCTAAGTGTCTGTGAAGAGGATTTAGATAAATTTGTGAAAAACTACTAGATTTATACTAAAACAATAAGATTATTCGCTCTCGATTTCTACGCTTGAAAGTTGACTTGGGCTCTGCCCTCGTCAACTATGGCGTGAAATCTCGAGCGCATAATCTAATTGTTGAATAGCAAACGATTGCAGAACCAATCATATTCGCGGATTTCCAATTTCTAATAAATGAAGATGTATCATGAATTAACCCACCAGTTGCGCTGTAAAAGGGCCACATAAAAAACCATCTCATTCAACACGTTTTTATGGCATATATAGGACAATGTTGATCTCATTGATTCAGTGTTCTTGCCTCATAAATTTACAGCGCCTGCGTACTGAGCCCACATCTCCGCCTACAAATACCTGTGAAACTCTAGAATTTGTTTATTAAACCCATTTGGACTCAGTTGATATTGGAACCTAACTCGCCGTACTCTCATTTGTTCTGATGAGAATAAAATGACGCGTTTTTTAACATTTGGGACAAAGGTTGGCAGGTGATCACTCATTAGCAAAACAACAGTGCATTAATTTGTACACAGATATCGATTGAAGTTACACTAACCCAAGACGTAAAGAGCCGAAACTAGGCAACATATCAACGATATACTAATTGCTAGATTTGTCAGGAAACATTTATTAAACCAAGCTTTAACTTACAGGTAAAATGTGACACATCATTTGTTAGTGGAGACACGAAATTTGAAACTTGAAATATCTTGCTTTGTAAAGACGACTTTATGGAAATTGTGATTAATTTTAACTGAGTGATGTGCTAAGTAGAGACCTTATGTTCCTTCATCGACAGTTTGAAACGGATTTTGAGTAAGCCATTTCTAGGAACGAGGATTTCTAAACATTTTCCAGCGAATTCTTCTTCGATGAACTATGATCAAGTTGTAGAAGTGTATCGGAACATGTTTTCAAATTTCTTATTTTCAACATGCGTCAGATAATTTAGAAGCGAGGATTCATTTAACTCTACAAAAGCACTGCAAGCATTGAAAATGTACGAGTTCATGGAAAATAGTACTTGTGGCTTTCGCGAGGTGCTGCTTTACCAGCCCAGCAGTACGGAATATGAAAACTTAAAATCGTGGTACATCGCAAATTGTGTGTTCAACGCTTTCCTAACCATTACCGCCATTCTCTCTAACGGCATCACAATCCAAGCGCTACGAAGAACTTCCTCACTGCCACTACCCCTTAAAACATTGCTTCTGAGTCTTGCTGTCTCTGATTTCGGTGTTGGTTTACTTGGCGGGCCTTTTTACATTGAGACACTCGTCAAGTGGTTGCAACGAGACAACTCGACTGGTGCTTTTTACACCGCGTTCCGCTTCACCTTGTATCTATTTTCTGCCGCTTCATTTTTGGGAGTCATGGCGCTAAGCGGTGACAGATTCTTGGCTGTGCACCTGCATCTCAGATACCAGGAACTTGTGACTCACAAGCGAGTTGTTGCTGTGGTAATCACAATATGGGTGGTCAATGCATTTCTTTCGTTACTTTACTTGTGGGTCCCCAAGAATATTTCTTACATAGTGTTTGCCATTTTTGGAGTAGTTTGCCTCATAATCTCAGCGATGCTGTATTTCCAGATTTATTTTGCTGTACGGCGCCATAGAAATCAAATTCAAGCTCTGCAAGTGCAACAAGTAGCTCAAAATGGCCAAATAGAAAATACTGCTAGGCTGAGAAAATCTGCAGTTGGTACATTTTATGTGTATCTTGTGTTTCTGCTTTGTTATGTTCCGCAGATCTGTAGTTTTGCTGTCGTTGCAATCTGCAACTTAAGTGCCGGTGTGAAAGTTTTTTCGATGTTTTCAATCACCTTGTTATTTCTGAATTCGTCGTTAAACCCTGTTATTTACTGCTGGAAGATGAGACACGTTCGACGCGCTGTCATGGACATGCTGCGAAATGTCCTTCCAAGCCACAGCTGAGTAAAGAAGTCATATTTGAGTTTGAGTCTGTTGCCCGTTTTCACTGGGCAATATTTTTCTTCGAAACTGGCTTTAAAAGCATGATCATGAACGCAGATGTTGTTAAACTTTGCCGTGCATGCTTCCAAGAGGTTGAGGATGGTAATGTATTTCTTAATCCTAAATTTATATTGACAATAGTTATTTGCTCAGACGCGCTACTTTCTAATAACATTAGCCTGCGTAACGGGTGGGACTCGCAAGCGAGAGATTTTTGCTTGCGGACTCCGCGACTTTATTTCTCGTAGGCTTTGCCCGCGGGAAATTTTGCGCTTCGCGCCTTCCGCGCCGCCAAAAACGGAAGCACTCGGACGCGAAATTCCGCCACCTACGCAGGCTAGAATAAGATTTGTTCTTAAATGAATAGAGGTGGTAATATATTGTTCGTGGCTAGTCTTAAGTAGCGCTTTCGTTTTGTCCCCGCCAAGGTGCTATTTAGAGACCTTTTTGCTCGGCAAACTCGTTGGGCATCGCATCCAAAGTCCCGTTCGCTAACAAAATGAAGACAGCAATCTCGCCTTATATCGCATAATGATTCCTGACCGCACAGATTCACGAGTGAAAATTGACAATGAAGTTGGCAGTTACTTGTGATAATGCGTTGTTCGTGGCTAGTCGTACGCAACACTTTCGTTTCGTCCCGGCCAAGGGACACTTCAGAGACCTTTGGGCGCGATGCCCAGCGAGCAAGCAGAGGGGTCTCTGAAGGGTCCCTTGGCCGGACGAAACAAAAGCACTGCGTAAGACTAGCCACGAACAATGTATTATCACAAGGATCTGTCAACTTTATCGACAAATGTAGATGTATCATGAATTAACTCTCTAGTAATGTTCTAAAAGAACCACATTATTAACATTGTTTGAGAGCCGCATGATAAACATTGCATTAAACATGTTGCATCGCTGTGATAGGAGAATGTTGGTTTTGCTGTCTTAGAAATTTATAGCGCTTGCGAAACTGCCGGAGCCCAGAAACTTCTGTGAACTCAAGGATTTGATTAAAAAAAGCCCTTTCTAACTCGTTGTATTTTAATTTACAAAAGAATAATGTTAAAAGTCCATCAACATTCATGCCAATGGCTGGCAGGTGATTTTCTTGTGCAAAAATGCATTTAACACAATTTTCAAATCAAGATGTGTGAGGCAAAATTTGTTAAACCAAGTTAATTTTCAAATGAAGTGTGAGTCACCTGGTGTAAACAAATCTAGGCACGAGGAATTTGAAACTCCCAAAATAAAATATCTTGTCTAGTATTAACGAGTTTATGAAAATTGTAATAAACGGTAACTGCACGGCGTCAGTGTGAAGTAAGGATCGTGCGTGATCCTTTATTGCAAGTTCGAATTAACAAATCGAATGTGGCTTAGCGTTGTCTCTACTCTTATCGACAACAATATGCGTCATCACAGTGGTCAAAATGTTGTGGACTCACAATGCGCAGCCAATACTACAATCATCTTGAGCGGCATCTCAACCCAGGCACTAAGAACGACGTCATCCTTTCCCAAGCCTGCATAAACTTGTTAGCTTTCTCTGATCTTGGTGTTGCTTTACTGGTCGAACCTTTCTACTTTGGGCTACTGAAGTGGCTAAGCGAGATAATTCTCCTGATGCTACGTGCACCACGTTTTATTTGATCATGGGCCTGTATTCTGCAGCGTGTGCTTTTTTTTTTTTTTTGGTGAAATAGCGGAGCTCCAACGCACAAAGCAGCCTAGTGGGGCCGTCGATAAAACCAGGAACATGGAACATTCCGGAACATTCCGGAACATCCCGGAACATCGAATAATTATCATAATTATGCGAAAAATATGCAAAATAAAATTTTAAAAAATTAAATCAAAGAAAAATAAACTGGTATCAGCTTGAAATATGAAAAGATATTATTGGGGATAAGGGAGTCGGTAGCAGAGGGGTAGGGAGCGTTCGGTATTCATTCAACTGACCACAATGAGTGCAGGCTCCTCCTCTTCCCGCCAATTTCGTTACGTCGCTTTTCAACACTCTGTTTTTCAACACAAACATGGANTGATTTACTTTTTTCGTACTTGTTCAAATGTCTTCTGTGTTTATCACATATTTATTTACACACTTGTGTATTTCCTTTAGTTGATGTATGTCACTGGCAACATTACCAAAATCTGACAGATGCAGAAAGAAAATATGACTACGTGACAGTAAACTTCGAATGTGACAAGACACTCGATGGCTGGTACCGCTTCCAAGGAGCTGCAGGCACAAAAATGGTGACCACATGTCCACCGATGTACCGTTGTGATGCAGACTTTCCTGTCTGGTTGAGTGGTGGTCATCCTACAGTGGCTGAGGGTGAAGTCTCGAAAAAAGTCTGCCTTCGCAAGTTTGAAAAATGTTGCGACGACTGGTTCTTCATTCAAGTAAAGAACTGCGGCTCCTACTATATCTACAACTTGACTCCCCAAACGAGTTGTTCCGCCCGTTACTGCAGCGCTGACTAATTCAGTTACAAATGCCCTTACTGTAAAACCTAGACATTGAGTGACAGCTGTATACCTTTACTTTCATTGTCTTTTTTTCTTTGCGATTACTAACGGGACTGGGCATCCGAAAACCAAGCAAATGGAACTAGAGAAGAAATTAACTTACCATGGCTCAATCCTGAATTAAAGACAAAATTATATCATGGGGTGATGCTTCTAATGCTGGGCCTTCGCAGGTTCCGTTCGACTGTGGCACACGGCGTAGAAGTATTTCTACACAGACTGTTTGATGTTGTAGAAATCACGGGAGATGAGGGACACGAGGTTCACAATTTTCGGTAAAAGTATCTTCTTTACAGCTAGATCTTTTTTGTCGCTTGTTCTCTGTCGTTCTTCCTTTTTGGAAGGGGAGAGTGCAAGCTGCACACGATTTTTTTTTAAATGGATTTTCTTCTTTTCTATTACCAATTGTATTCTTGTTATACAACTGTAGTACTATAGTACACGTGACTCTACACTCACTCGAGCGATGTCGCGCGGAATGAAGTATATCATGTACAACACTTTACTAATAATACTAATTTAGAGGCATTCCAAAGATCGTTCAATGTCAAGATTGATAACATTCAGCCTGAGTCGACCATACCAGACTCAAGTTGTTAATCAACCATGTAACCAAGGAACGACCAATAAGAACATGCATCAAGCAATAAAGCTTGTTGTTGCATCAAATCGGACGAACTTCCAGCTCCATTGCAATGTCCCTTCAGAGTGTTTCACCTCTTTTCTTATCCATTGTAAGAAAAAAAAACTCATTTATAGCTGTTGTTTAATATTAAAACTGTGGTAAAAAAACAAAAACAAAAACAAAAACAAAACAAACATGCGTCCATTTCTACATTCCTCAACGATAGACACTTCCAACTAAATCCTTTTCCTCAAACCAAGAGTCCAGTTGGAACATTTGAGGTATAAAGAGCATCGTTCAGACTGCTCTGGTATTTTCTATGTTATTAGTGATTCCCTTGATGCTCACTGGACGGCATAAGAGCGTAAATTACGTTTTCGTACACCATAAAGGTAAGCGCACAAGCTGGAGTCACTCTGGAAAACGAAAGAACAAAACAAAAATCAAATAAGGACAGACAGTTACTACTGTAGTTGCTTCTTTAATTGTTCATTGATTTCGCGTTTTCTAGCTTTCGTGTTTGTTTGTTTGTTTATGTTTGTTACTTTGCTTGTTTGTTCGTTTGCTTGTTTTGATGTCTGTTTCCTAGTTTTCATGTTTCTTATCTTGTTTTAATGATTGCTTCCTTGTTTACTTTGCTTTGCTTTGTTTTGTTTTTATTTCGTTTTTCGTCTTGCTGCTTTTTTGTCTGTGTTTGCTTGTAACATTTAATTATTTTTGCTCTTTCTTTCACTGGTGTTTTTGTTTCAAACATTGCTAACCACGTCAAGTGACAGACTTGTTGAATTACTGCGCGTTTCAAAAACACGCAAACTCTGAAGCTCAGTCAAACCTCAACTAAGTTTTTTTTTTTCACTGCTGTCGATGATAATGACGAGGAGATAGGGAGATAAGATAAGGAGACCGGTTTACAACGACAACGGACATTTTTCTGTATCTCAACTGACAAGTTCGTATACGAAGTTAACCTCGTTTTATAGACACTGGTTATTTGCGCACAGAAGATTTTCATAATTATGTACCAAGTAATCTGCTGTTAGAAAATGAAAGCCTTTAATTTCACTAAACTTACTATAATAAATGAGTATTGATGTTCTTCCACTTGACAAGGGAACTTTAAATTCAGTGCAAGACATTTGTATATTTGTTCTTCAGTTACATAGATTAAATAGATATTTTGGGAGTAGATTTTAATTCAGTACATTTTTAAGTATATAATTTTAGATAAGATAGATTTTATGCTCAATATATTTTGCCATATTTTCTGTTACAATAAATTGTAATTTAGAGCGTCCTCAATTAGCTCTTTTAAGCTAAATACATCGGCACT